GCAGCGAAGTGTTGAGGGTATTTTTCTAATGAAATGATAATTTGTATTTTCTCCATATTTGAAAATACCAAAGGTTACCTTTTTTTACACCCATGAGTTGAGCATTTTATTCCTCCCTAGTCCACCTGCAAAAATACTCCTTCTGTGGCCTGATCTGATGTCATTAGCTATTGTGTCATGAGGAAGAAAAGCAACGTTCTTACCTCTCTGGGTATGCAGTCAGATGACCCAGACTGCAAACGGGAGAGTATTTTTCCCATCGGTGGCATTGGCCAGTCTAGCAAACACCACGGGCATCAGTATCAGCTGCCCTGGAACTGCTTTTGATGTGATTAGGCTACTAATTAGCTCTCTCAATTCTTCTCTCCCTCCTGATGTTTTCTTTTGATTCACTTTGACTCTGAGGAGTCTGTATTCCATGTATGTTTGTTTTTGTGTTTTTGTCTAAAATCCCTAATGATAGCTTAGACTGTCTTCTTCTTAGACAGTTCCCCTGTGTTGACATATATTTTCCTGTTAAATGCATCCATCAGGATTTTTCTCCTAAGAATAGCTGTTATTTTGCAAGATGTAAACAATGTATTGTCAGTGTACATATATATGTGCATATTCATTTAAACTGTGCTAAGGATTTTACAGTCTGAATTAGAATGTGCATAGTTACTTCAAAACTATCAAAACCCCAGTAAATGGTTAGTACTTGAATATTTTTTCACCAGATAGTAACCTCACAATTAAATTATTATGTAAAGTCGGTTAAATAACAGAAGAAGTTATTGTATTAAGACCCACTTTGCAAGGAAACCAATGACAAGGAAGCAGTGAAAAACGCTAATAGATTATATGCTATAGCAATATATTGGCTTTTTATTGCTTTTCCACAGGCAGCAGATTCATGTATAGTTATTACTAGCTACATTATCTGCTAGTTTTCTATCAAAAAAGATTCAGTCTATTGAATCATTAATCCAATATTTATCATTCTTATTGAAAATCCACTAGTGTTAGCACTGTATAAAATATTGACTTAAATCTACTGGTTTTGCTAAAGATTAAAAACATATTAACCTAAAAAGCACAGTATTTCTTAGGACATTTGAACTATTCATTGTGGATATTTGAAATGACAATATTTCTGTGTTGTGTGAGGAATGATTTTTTTTTTTGCAATCTTTAACATATAGTAAGTGACCAGTGCCATCCTGATTTGAAGATGCTGAATGTTCATCCAACTCATATTTGAAATTTTGATGTGTATTGCATTAGTTACTGAATATCAAGAATAAAATTTTTTGCTCATACATATAGTGTAAAATGGGATCTTTTGTAGCAGCACACGGCCTGTTTAGAATGATATAACAGGCGCTGAATGTTCACATATCAAACAAAATGCCATCTTTCTGTAGAAAAGAGGTGTCAAAAAGTTTCTTTGTACCTTTAACGCATGTGATTATGTAGTACAAAATGCAGAGTTTGTAAAATTTCTTGAATATACAGGCAAAAAATGAATAATTCAAAACAACTCATAAGTTCTACATTCTATTGTATCTTTTATAACGCAGGCAGAAGATAGCATTGTGTTCCCAGTAGAGCTGAATTTGCACAAGTTACACCTCTGAAAATGCCAGATGGTCTATGGTCTACTTTTGAGAGCTGTCACATATGTAAAGATTTGAAAAAAGAAAGACAGCTGAATGAGAGCAGTGGATCATTAAAGAGAGAGTGAGAGTCCCTGGGTATCACTGTGTTTTAAGAAGCATTGTGTCGTTCCCCATATTACACCTTTTTTTTTAAGATATACACAACCTTTAAAAAATAAGGTAAAAATATTTCTGTTTTAAACTGAGTGGTTGTGGCTTAATCTTGGAACTGTCAGTTGCTTTTGTTCTTTATGCTAGAATGCGGTCATATGGTTCCTAATTGGTTTCAAGTGTGTTTTAACCATAAGATTCAAGTCTCCCTAGTGCAAAATTATCAATAAAGTTAAAATAAATTTAAATTGAGATAACTAATCCATTTGGGGTTTTATTCCATTTTGATTTGACCTGTGTATCACATGTGAATACTGTAAAGCCAGTCAGCTAAAAAGTTGTATGTAAATGCTAAAAGACTGAAGTAAGAGTACTTTGGGAACAGGATTATTAAAGAAAAAAACAAAGCACCCTCAAGAAAACCCACCCCCTCCCCCAAAATAACCTTAGTAAAAATAGTAATGAAAGCAAACACAAATGACTGTTTAGATTCCCCAAGAATTCCCATTCACTCACAGTTTGACAAAAACACACCTAATTTTGAAGATGGAATTTTGGATAATTTGCCAAGTTTCTGTATTGAAGCAAAGCACCAAAAATATGCAAACAATTGTAAGCTGCCACCACCAATTTAACTGGCTCGGAAAAGGTCATAACTGTCAGTTTTAGAAACTTGCATGTCCAGACATACAGAATTTTAGTATAGTCTGTTGCTTTTATTTACTGGGGAAGGCTAACCCCTCCCCAGTAATTCTAGGTTATTGGTACAACTACACCACTCCACATTTGGAAATTGTAGGGGAAATATCATTACACAGACTATGAAAACCACTATTCTTAATAGTAAAGTTTACATTTCGGTGGGATAATGAAAATAAAACTATGGGGAGTTGTAGGTATGAACTCTGAACTTTAGAGAATAAAAATTATGATTTCTGTTGTTGCTAAAGATTTTATTTTTTCACTACAGTTAGGTCTGCATTGACTATTTCTAAAATGGAAGTATTTGATTATTTTTTGGACAAAATTTGTTTTGCACATATGTGGAAAGATGTCCTACACAAAGGGTTTCAGGTGGTATGATTTTAAAGAACCCTGTTTCAGGTAGAATAAAACTCCCTAGAAACTTGGTTTGGGGCTTTTGTGATACTCTGGAAATGTGAGCAGAATATATGCTACAAACGGAATTCCAGAGAGCAGAAAGTGCCTTGCTTACGGATATGCATATTTTTTGGAAGTGCTAATGCGAAATTGAAAGGAGAAACAGTTTCTGTACTGCCATCAAAAACTTCTTGGACAACAGTTAGGTGCTTGGGTGCCAGATGGTGTTGTGCTCCTGCTCTGTTGGCTTGGAGGTTAGTGAGTAGTTACTGCTAGTAAAGTAAGGGAACTTTAGCTTCCCTGCAACATCTTTGAGGAGACTAAAGCATAAACGTTTTCCCCAGCCCTCCCTGTCCTGCAACACAATATTATCAGTTTTGTAAAGCAGGTTCAATCAGGGTTACTCTGACCTACATAGATGTGGGTAGTCTCGGGTATCTTAAACTCTTAGTTGCTAAGAGTTGTTGACTAAAAAAATCAAATGGCAAGTAAAAACAAACCAGATCATATTGAAACTGTTATGAAAAGTATCTCTGTTTGCTTGTGAACGTGACCAGGAGTTAAGATTTATCTGAAGTTTAATTGAGACAAGTTTATGATAGTTGGAGGAAGCAATCAGAGAATGATGTCAGCATCTTTGATAAAAGGGAAGCATAGGGGGTTTGATAGCCAAACCCAGAACTTATAGTCTTTTTAGAGACCACAGATCTTTATGTCCCAGTAGTATTTGTCCAAAAGTTCGGTCACTGGTACCTGAATTGATCAGTGGAGATGTTTCTTTTAGAGAAAGCTAACCGTAATTATCTATATGTATCATTATCTTGGACACAGTGTAATCTACATATAAAGTAATATTGTGAAATCATCTGAAAATGGATGTGAATCCTATGAAAAGAGAATGAACTGCAGCACTGTTTTTCGTTACTTCTGGTACTCTCTAATCTCACTTCAAGTGAGTGTTCAGTAGAATCTGGGCTTTTTCCTTTATGTTAGATCTGTAAATAGTTGAAGATTGAACTGTCTGAAAACCTCTTTATGTCCAAGCATGATATAGTAGTGTTTTGATTAGGAGAGGTGATTGGGCTGATGCTTTTTGATTATGAAATCTTGTTGTGTCACTATGTGTGTAGTTTAATTAGTTTTTGAACAATGTCTGCATTTTTTTTCTGAATAAGAATCTTTAATTGGAAATTACTTTTTTTTATTAAAGCTTCACATAAAAAAAATCCTGCATATTTTCTCCTGTTTAGATACAGACTTTAAATATATAGACAATGTATTTTCCATGTTATTAAAAATATGCTCCTTTATGATACAGTAGCTCAACAAAGAATGGTCAAGTTTCGTGCTCTCTCATTAGAATGTACTCTTGGAGTGTTAACCAGGCCACTGCAGATTCCTGCCTTGACAGGTTTTGTGTTTTTTTCTTCCTTTGACCATATCAGTTTGTTGCCATTAAAGCCCTAACTCGCCCATTACAGCCATTTCTAAAATTGTGTTTCTGAATTGAGGAATCTGAAGGGGAAGCCTTTGGCTTGTGGTGTTTGAATGCATGTTTCTTCTAGTTACCAGATCACCTCTTCCACAAAACCAGATTTTGATTTGTTTTGTTCTTCCCAGCAATGCACAATCTTTATGAATTTAAGCTCAAACTGTTGTTCGTTACTTGGATGCTCCTTTTCTTCTCTAATAAACTGGTCTTGTGTGTGGCTTGTTGATGGGGGGCATCCTACCTTGTCACTCAGGTTATTTCCTGAAGACTGGCAGGTTGGCCAACCTGCAGCTTCACTTCTGTTACTGCAGTCTGCATATACCTTTTTCTTTCCTTTTGCATTTCCCCCCCACTCTTTATTTGACTCCCTTAACCCAAGTTTATCTCGGTTTTGCTACTTTTTTTCCCATTCCTGATTTTTATCCTTCCTTAAATTACTGCCTTATTCTCTCAGAGCATTGCAAACCTTTCCATGCAGTGATGAAGAGGGAATCTAGGCCTCATACAGACATGAGACACTTTCTGAGTACCTAATAATTATTTTTAATCTAGAGATATTTTTTACTTTCTTTTTTTGATGAGGGAATGTTAACTTTGCAGTCTATTCTTTTATGAATTTACAATTTAAATTAACCCTTTCTCTCTTTCATTTTAAGCACAACCTCAACGTTTGCCTCAGCCGAATACTTCAGCACTGGAAAGGGGTGAGGAAGAAAGTGGCAAAATCCAAAACGGCCACGCGGGTCTGAGTAATGGAAGTGGAATTCACAACGGGGTCAAGCACGTGCCTGCAGACAACAGAAAACTTTCAGCTCCTGTTTCAGAAAAAATGCACAGAAAAATTCAGTCCACCTTGTCTGTCAACAGCAACAGCAGCAAGAAGAGTAAAATAAGCTCTGTGTTTTCTCAAAAGCCAGGTACTTCACCTGAAGGTAAGCAGAAATTCTCATTAAAAAAACCCAAACTGAATAAAAACTAGCCAAACCCTATTCTCACTAATAATTACACAATCAACTGAAAATAATTGAAGAGCATGACTCATGCTCCAGAAGCAAATAGAAATGATTACGATAAAACACAAGTTACTTCCCCAAAGGAAAATATTAAGTATTTGAAGGAAATTGAAGCGATGGGAGATTTCTTGCTTTCAAACATTTGGCCAACATAGTCTGATAATGTTTTAGTCTCTCCAGTTAGTATCAGTATCCTGAACCAATAAAAGTGCCTGTCAACATTGTCATGTATACATCAGAAAAAAAATGGTAAAGCAATAGTTCTAAGCATAATAATTAAGTCCAGTAATGGCAGGCTCCAGGAGGGCTGAGTTTGCTTTTGAAATGTTCTCTTAGCAGATATTCTGACTAGCCATGAGGTCTGAACACTAGGGAATAAAATTTGGACCTGTGCTTCAGTGTTTAGCGTGCCTTAATGCTATATTTGGGCTGTAAATAATTTGCATGAAAGAGATTTGTACTCCTTATGCTCAGCTTAAGTAAACAAAAGAAAATTATTTCCCTTATGTTTTAGCTGCATGGGTGTGTTTTCACTGCTTGCAATTACTCTAATGGTCCTAAAGTTCTCAAGTCTCTCCTCAATCCACTGCCTTCCCATTAGCACTAATATACTCAATGGGCTTTGCTCCTGCCTGTTACACAAGGGTGCAGAGGGTCTATAAATTTTTATTGGTTTGAAGCAGGCATAGATGTCACTGGTTAAAAAAACCTCTGAGGGTTGGGTACAGGCACAGATTCTTAGAGAAATGGGAAATGGTACTGTTCTGTGAAATGGGGGGGATTCTCAGCCTAGATGAAAGGAAGAGGGATCAGAAGATCTGCACATAGTGACCTGAATGAAGCCTACTGATGTCAGTGGAGTGACTTCTCTTGACTTCAACTACTTCAGTCAAACCTACTGAGTGAATCTGTGTAGTAATATCATTAGCGGCTTCTCTCGGACTGTGCCACAGGCTGGTCCTCCTTGCTGTGGTTTATTCATATATTTGTCTTCAAGAACTTACTGTTATTTTTCTATTTCACTTTCAGTCCTCTAACATTTCTTTCCAAAATCACAACTTCTTACTTGCTATATTCCCCTTATCTCTATCGTTTACGTCAAATCCAGTTCACCCTCCTGCCCAGTATTTTTCTTAGGTTTTAAAAAACTGTAAGTCAAGAGACTTAGGTCTATTCGCATGACTAGTATAAAGTGCAGGCCTCTGAATTTAGGAAATTCAACCTCTGAAAAGGAAATTGCAGAGATCTAAAGAGATGGTACCTGCCCTGTTCATGCCCTTATAAAATTATTTTTGGCAAGCACTTTCTTTTTTTTTTTTCTTCTAAAATTATATTTGAATAAATACCATCAGTGAGGTTTTTGTTTGTTTTTAATAACCTTGGCAATGATTATGTCAAATTACTGAATGATTGAGGAGAAAATTAATAAGATACCTTCAGATATAGCTTTAAGGTCTAATGTCTGATTTTAATATCCAAGATGTGATTGTGTTGGTTGTCTGAAACTGCCAATATACAATTTTCGATGTACAGTCAGAAATGTTGATATTTTTAAGGGTGTGTCTGATTAGATTATAGATTATTGCATTATGTTGTCACACTAACTTACATATTTTCAAAATACAGATACAGGCTAATCCTTAATGTCACATGTAGTTTCTTGAGTTATCTAATAGAAAAATTTAAATATATTCAACAGTGTATGTGTATGAATGTATGAGTGTATGAATGTGGGAACTTGGATATATGATCTGAATAGCTTGACCACACTGCTAATATCTGCTGGTTTAAGTTTTCTGTTAATTAATCTGAGTGAAGCACAAGTTTTATTGTGCAATGATTAAAGTATATCTAGGCTATTTGTGTCTATACGTCTGCATGCACGCATGTACAAGCCTTCTTACAATTTCTTCAGCTTTTCAGGAATTTACCCTGTAGGGCTGCATGGGAGAACTGCAGGCTATAAGTAATAATTTTATCAAGCTGTTACTTTGCAGGAAGTATCAATATACATGTAATTTCTTCTATCATCCGTCAGTTTTTTGATTAGATTTATAATCAGAGACTCTGACAGTGGCCAGTTGAAATATTTAAAGTAACACAAAAAGATCACTATGTAAGGAAAAAATATTTATCCATAACTTAAAAATAATTATTTTCATGAATTTAAGAAATATTAATCCCTTATGACTCCTTCTGGAAGACCACACTTAAAAAACTTGGTCTAATTAGCCAGGTTATTTGTTCAGAGGAGTTTAATTGCCTTTAAACCAGCAATATATGTAGTTGATGAATACATCTCACTGTACAAAATGAGGAGAGTACACTAGTAAGCCCTGTGACTGAGGATTGCATAGACACTCTTTCAAAATGGTATACATAAATTCATTTGAACCTAACTTCTACAGATTCCTTGTATTATGAATCATACTTTTGTGGGCAAAGAGATATTTTTGTGAGCAGTTGTGTCTTCTGATCCAATGACATTTCTGTAGAAACTATTGAAAAGGTTTACAGGAAGACGGAAAAGATAGGAAACTATTGGAAATTATCTGCAACGCTGCTTAACTACTTGGCTTTGTTTAAGTTGTACCATGTTAACCTCATAAGCCATTGGTTACTGCTGAAGAGCTGCAGGGTTTGAATTTACTTGAAGGTGTGTGTTTGTGTTTGTGCACATCTGTGCAGTGTAATCTTATGCAGAAAGAGATAAATTATATTAATTTTTGTGCTGTGAGTATTAAATAACCAATCACCCAAATTAACTCAGCTACTTCAATTTTTTACTCTAGTGTCCAGATAATTTTTGTAGAAAAAAATACAGGTGAACTTGAATGCCTTCAGATTTGCTTTAATTTTTCTATTCCTTATGTATGACCTTGGATTTTATGGTCTCCTTTAGAACTTTTTTTTGAAAAAAAAAAAAAACCAACCCTGAAAATATACGCCATGTATTTTTACTTTATCTGTCTGGTGTTATTCTGCTCAGCTGCCAGTCATGAGAATAACTAGTTGTGTTAAGTGAAACAAAGTGGCCAGAGAAAAGAAACAGAGTATGTCCTCAGAAGGAAGGGAGGTGAACGTCCCGGTCATCAAGCTATATAAAAAAAGAGAAAATATTTTTCACTTTTTCTTATTCCTTCCCAAAAGCTGCTTTTTTCTTGTTCTTCTTAAAAGACTGTGACTAGCTCTGGAGCACTACACCTATTTGTAATGTACAATAAGTCCAGGTCTGGTAGTTATTTTGCTCTATAACATCTTATCTTTTGAGAGAACAGAAAACCTGGTAGTGTTTGAAGCAGGGTAGAATCAAGAAACATCCAGGCTTCCCAGCCATTCTGCACAGGATCATATTTGGGCTTAAGCTTATTTAAAACGTTAGCAAATGCAGCATGCTGCGTCATATACTGCGGTCTTCAGTGGATACATACACCCGAAAGCTAAATGAAGTGCAGTGTTACTTTACCCAGGATATCACATCTTCATACAAAGAATGTCAGTACAGCTCCTGTTGGTCTCCAAAGTGCTAGACAGCCCTAATGCAAGCTATAAGGCTCCTCAGTCCCCACCCCACCAAAATCCCCCCAGCGTAGTTAATAACTCATTAATTGTTCCAGCTGCAAACTCCATTTGCGCTGTAGATCACATCTTGGAAACTTTTGGAATTGAAGTTGCATTGGAAGTGCTTAAAACTTAACAGACATTTTGGTAGCTGTAGTATAAAAGCTTTGAAATCTGACTTTTTAAATGAGTCTGTAGTGTATGGAGTCGTGTCAGCATTCCAGAATATGCTGTTTAGAAACACTTTCACATCCAGTGAGGCTTAGGAGGGTATGAGTGCACTCACCAGTTCTGCTCTTCCTCTGCATCTATTATTAATCCATATTATCCCTGAGGAAATCTTACTCAGCTCCATAACTCACACTATAAAAAAAAACAAAGGAATTATGAAATAGTAGAGTATCTCTCTTAAAAAGCAGTTTTTAAACACTGTGTTAGTTCTAAAGATTTTTCAGAAGGACTGGGTAGGCTTCAGTGCATATTGGGAATAAAAGATGGGTTTTTTATTCAAAGAAATTTTAATAATATTTTAAATTATTGATGTCAGAGGTGTCATGGTTCTTCCAAAACTCTGGTCAGTAGACCACTAGCAAAGAGAATTGTCACTCTCTTGCACCTGTTATGTGTAGTGCAGAGAAACACCTTGGGAAGCTGAAAAAGTAGTTTTAAATGAGCAAAAAGAAGGCAGTTTTGATGCTGTGTTTGGAAGTAGTGGTACCTATCCAAAGCAAATTAATGAGGGGAGGACGTCTAAAGGAGACAGCAATGAGGCAGCTGAACAGTAAATCTAGTTGTTAGGAAATTAAGAAAAATGGGTAACTGAACACATAAAGATGTGTATCAGAGTAGTGGAAAGTAAGTAATAATGACACATGCAGAGTTGGAAGAGGAAAGGGAGGAAGAAACTGGACAGTAGAAGGGATGGAAGAGGAATTTAATTAAGAGGGTGGAGGGGGGCAAAATGAAGTAGGCGCTAATCGTTTTGTAAAAACCAAACCAAGTTTTCCTACCAAAACTTTATGAAGCTTGATGTCGTGCATTTTTTTAATCAAACCAGTCATTTATAAAATCTTAATGATGGAGAGCAGGAATAGAGTTTTTAATTCATTTTTTAAATAGAGCTTTCGCTTCTGATCAAGTTGCTGTGACCTCACAAGTTACTACACTTGTCAGGGTGGTTCCCACAACTCCAGTAACTTTTGATAATTTGAGTTTTGGGCGGTACTTCACATGTTCAAAAGGCTGAGAGCATATGCGATTGCTGTATTGTATGAACATCAAGATGCAGGAGTGAGGTAGATAAAGCAAGCCTGCAGTGTAGGGGTGAGGCTCTGGGGAAGGACAGGCAGTGTAGTGTA